GTAAAATGAGGAATTTGAGAAGATTTTTACTAAGTAGCCCCATCTTCAAAGGCCCTGCCTCTCCAATCTTTTTGTTTCTTTCATTCATTCATTTATACATATATTTATGTACGCATTCAATAAACTGAAACCTAACTGTGGATAAAGTATTGACAGTCGATGACCAAAATACAACACCTATCATCCATCACAATGGAAGAAACAGCATTTAGTATTGATCGCTCTCAATTCCTGGGAGGGCAATGATATTCCAACTTCTGTTTTCTAAGGAACAGACATATCGCTTTTCTCTCAAGGTAAAAATATGACGGATGCTGTTTCTAGCTGGCTTTCAAAGAAAGCAAGTGTAGTCAGCTACTCTTTACAAGCTGATGACTTAGCTTAGCATTTATCTACTTTTATCCTCTCCTTCCCAGCCTCACTCTCGCTCCCTCCCCGCTCGATCCTACCCCCATTTCCACAGCTAGAGTTTGGTTCCTTCTCATAATTTTAATTCAACTCAATTCAGCTCAGTTAAATTCAGTTCTCATTCGTGGGGCCTTTCTCGGTACACGGAGCTTACACAATGCAAGGATTATCTTCGAGGAGTTTCTAATCAGTCAAGTGAGGAGAACGCATGTGAAAAAGAAATGTCAATATAAAAACTATGTTTGGATAAAGAGGCAGAGAAGCCGGACCAGTCAGTGAGGCCACAGAGCTCTGGTTAAACCAAGAGAGACGTTCCGTATGACCACTCACTCCTCAGCCTTTCCAAGCTCTCTTCAGGTTGGCACTATCCTTGCCATCCTTGTCTCCCATTTGTGTGTCAATATAAACTAACCCCGAAGAATTTGATTTAATCTGATGGTTACCGATATCTAGAAGGTATATAATATTTTTAACTAACGGATAAATGTCATGATGAGAAAGCTCTGAGATGTTAGCCTTTGCTGAGTGACGTGTCGTTGGGCCAGTATTTTTAACCTCTTGGAACCTCAGTTGCCCCAGCTATAAAATGGGGACAATACTCATGTCATGGTGTTGTCCTGAGGATGAAACCAAGTCACGGCTGCTGTACATACCTTCTCCCTAGTATCAGGACTCCTAACACTTCACTAATCCTGTCTAAACTTAAGGTGAGACTTGGGCAGAATGGCCGGACTCCTCTCTGAGTAGTTTTTTATATGCCGCACTTCATTTTAGGCAGTTTCTTTTTTAAAAAAATTATTATTATTATTATTTTTTTTTATTATTATTATTTTTTAGGTGAGGCAACCCTTGGTTGACCTCACAGATTGCAAGGACCTTGCCAGCTTATAATCTCTTATTTTTTTTTTATTTTTTGATACCTACAGCATCTGGTCTTCCTAGGTGGTCTCCCATCCAAGTACTAACCAGGCCTGACCCTGCTAAGCTTCCGAGATCAGACGGGATCGGGCTTGCTCAGGGTGGCATGGCTGTAGACTAGGCAGTTTCAATATGGTAACAGTCACCTCATCACTAATGAGACATAAGATAGGTACACAGACAAGTTCCCCTGACTCCTTATTTAGCTTCCAACCCTAGTATGAGTTTACTAATAAATAAATAAATAAGTAAGTAAGTAAATAAATAAATAAATAAATAAACAAAGCCTCTTTCAAAGCTAGATAGAATTTGGTATAATTCTCACAAATAGAAATGAACACAAATCTACATCACTTTAAAGACACCATATCCACATCACTGCAGAATCGCTGGCACGCAGCAGAGGCTGGAAATATGTCCCAATGTGATGTGTACGTCCCCTACCCCTTCTGCCTCTTCATCTCCTTTTCCATTTCTCTACGCTCATCCCCCTTCTTCCTCCTTGGAATGTTAAAACTGTTCCCCAGGTATCCAGTGAATATTCTTTCCCGTTGGCCTCACTGTCACAGAAGATGCTCAGCGATCCCAGGAACCTGGAAGGAAGAGCCTGTTGTTTGGGATGGTTAGAAAGGTGGGAGGCTCTCATGGCTTCAAGTCTGCTCTGACCTCGGACGACATCCGGCATGCATGTATTCACTTGTGTCACTGTGAAGTCAAATGTCTGTTGGCCTAATTCTTCAGAAAAATGATCCACAAAACTAAATTATAAGTTGCCAGAATTATGAGAAAACCAGCTTGGACAGATGTGGTCACAGCACATTAAAGTCACTGCTTGATACTAATGTACATGAAGTCAAAAGAAGAACACACGTGCTTCTTGATTTAGGACGTCCCAGATTAATGCACCGTAGAGCTCACTGGGGACACAGATTTTGCTCTCTCCCACAATAGAAATGACCGATTTGGGGCGAGGAAAATGGATGTATTCCACTGAGCAGTCGCTAGTCAGACAGCTTTTAACAAAGTTGTGCATTTAAAGCGATCCTGTCTAAAGCTTCTGTCCACCTTTAGGACCTCCAAGTTTCGCCAGAAATTCAAGATGAGAGCTTTTGTCAGTGGCCAAATAGGGAGTGTGAAGTGGACACTCTGACACCACTGTCCCCAGCAGAATAGGTTTGCAGTGTTGAGGTGCAGGCGACACCTCCCTGGCAGCTCTCTGGTTTCTTGTGTGCTCTGAGAACACACCCCACAGAGTGCATTCATCACAATAGCCCATGTGTGACCCTTGGAAAAGTCCTTGAAAACAGTGAAACGAGAGTCTTAGTTGAAATCTGGAATCCATTCCAGCCTTACACAGGAAGAAAATTAGGCGTAGAACAACAAAGCCCATAGTTCTGAGAAATCTGGGGAGGCTCTGGCTGACATTAAAATCACAGATTTTTTTTTCTTCGCTATTTTGCATTTCATAAAAGCTTTTCATCTAAGCAACCCAAAGCTGCTAGAAAATACTGTACAGTTAAGAGACGGCAGGCACTGATTTCTCCAGTTAAATAATGCAAGCGGAATAAGAACAGAGAGATGCTGAGTAATGTAGTGAAAGCCACTTAACGCTTTTCCAAGCTACTAAGTAAATGTTAGTCTTCTAAAATATAAGTGGCCGATACCCCATTTTTCCCTTTGGGTTAATTTCTTGGTAATAATGAGATTAGGTATGAGTGAGAACCTGGGGTACAGAGAATAGCTGTGTTCCCTAAGCCCAACTCTCTCATGGAGTTCATTCACCCAGATATTATGGATCTGGAAATATTTATTCACTTAGAACATGAATCAGCAGAGTAGTGTGCTTGCTCAGTAAATTTAACTCAACAAACCGTTGTGAGGTAACGCTATTTTTAAAACTACAGACCCATTTCCTTTTGTCTCCAGCTGATATTATTCGCTATTAATTGGCCATACCATATGTTTTTATTTCACACATATAAATAATTATAAACCTGTATGCCCTTTAGAAACATCTTCCTTTTTTTTTTGCCAGCAAGAAGGGTAGGACACTTCTGAGTCGAGTGCAGCATAAAACCCAGTGAAAATCAATTGGCAGGGAAGTTTGGTTTGGAATTGTCTTTCAGAATCTACCTCAAGTGTGTCTGGGAGGTCCCTCAAAAGGGATACAGACCCTGAACCAAACAAGGTGATTCAGAAATAATCCAGCTGGGGGTGCACCATCTGATGCCGAGACCCAGACACTTATTCATAACACATGAATAACTTAATTTTGTTTTTTTCTTAAGTACCTTCACAGTTCATTTTTTATTTTTCTTTAAAAAAAAAAAAAAGTAAATGGCATTACTCTGGTCTCCAAAACAGATGCCAGTTTGAACTTTACTCTGCCAGCAAGTATTTGGTTTGGCTCTGCAGGGCTTGAGTTGAAAAAATATTTGCCGATTCCAAAAAGATTTAATGAGCTTTGCTGAAGATGCTGGTGCCATTTGGCACATCACAGGGACTGTGGCACAGCAAAGAGAACTCTCTTGACCACAGATTTTATTTGCCCAAGGTAGCCAACACTGGGAGTTCAGTTGCTTCCTTGGGTCACGAAGGTATAAGTCAAAGGGGTGAAGTTTCCAAGAGAAAGTGACCAAAGCAGACGTCAAAAAAAAAAAAAAAAAAAAACCCCACAAAAAACAAAAAACACACAAAAACACTCACAACTAACCAACTCGCCATTGAAAACGAAGTCACGGGGTCTTGATGGCTAATTTTCAGAACTGTCAAAAACATTCTCACTCCGGCCATCAGACACAGTCCCCAACGCTGTCAGTCAACAAACCAAATAAATATCCAACTTCCAGCAAAAGCTATCTGGGAGTATCAGATACTAAAAACCTTTGCCGCAGTTTACTTTTGTCGTCATCGGATACCCTACTAATTGCAGCGTTAGAATTTAACGATACAAAAATTGAATGACCTGCTTCAAGCAGCTTCGCTAAATATAACCAGGAAATTTGCTTTCTATTGCAAAGTCGTACACGCCTTCCTTTTTATTAATATTCAGTAGAACATAAATGCATGAATCTACCACTATGATTGGAAAAACTGAACTTACTGCACATAAGTCGCTGAAGGTCGTCACCTAAAATCATGTATTTCAGTAACAGTTGCAGTTACCCCGCAAGAAAACAAGGTTCTCTAATCCTTTCCAATCAATGTCACATCTGACAGCTATAACAAAAAATGCAGAGCATTTCCATAATAATGTGTGCTTAAAGGTCACTTGTATGTTTTCATGGATGTGGGGACAGGAAGACTGCCATCGAAACTGTGGCCACCTTGAAAAAGAGAAACTCTGGATTATTTTTAATTTCAGGCTATGAGCAAATATACGCATGCTTGGGTGTACCACACCTCAGCTTCTACGGATCTCCCCCGAATTCTAAATGTCTCTTTCGTTAAGGCCACGTGCTCACCCAAAGCTCATCATGTGATCATCTACGCCAAAATCCAGTAACAAATATCTTCAAAGAAAGAGCCAAGCTCTGCACTGCCTCTCCACAGAAAGAGTTATTCACCGAAACAAAGACAGAGCCGCCTACCTGACTTAACCAAAATTTGGAAGTCAGAGTACAAATCAAAAAAAGTCATGAAATAACAAAAGGACAATTAGAACTGTTATTTACCATTTTGGCTTCTGAATGCATTGGCTGGACTTGGGGAGAAGCACAGGGGTTGCTGAGATTTGGACCTTGCATTCCCAGGAGGTTGGAGTTCACTGACATTTGTCTCTCCATCTAAGAGAAAGAAAAGCAACAGAATCAGAGGTCTGAGGAAGGCAGTCTGGGTCATGGACAAAGCTGCATTTCTCTTCCAAATGGATCCTTTAGAATTTCTTGAATAACTCTGGAGAAGCTTGTGGTTTGGTGAAGGGTGAGCAATGCGCTCCTGAGCCTTGAACCCAACCACATCAAAGAACCACCCAAAGCTGCACCTTCTGCAGGAGATGTTTCGTGCCAAAGAGAACCGCGCTGTCGTGTAGATCATTCCCAAACAAAAGTGTAGGATATTTCCACTTTTGCAAGCACTTCGACTACCACGAATCATGCTTATTTCTATAACTAGAAAGAATAACATATGCATCGAAAGATGCTAGAAAGAAATGTAAGACACCAAATGGCTACTTCAGGTTATGGCTTTTTCCCCCTCCCTAAATTTTACACAGAAACATGAACCAGTTTAGCAATAAGAAAAATAAAATTAATTTTAGAAGCAACGCTGGTGGATCCTCCTGTCGCTATTACTCATAAACACAATCAAAACGGTTCAGCGCAGGTATCTGAGCCTCTGCTTCTCGCTCGTGTCCACCATCTACTCTGTGAACCTAGTCATGACTACCCAGCAGCAGTTTGAGGACTCACAGCGGGAGCAGGCCTTTGGGTAGGTGAAGAAAGTAGCTGAGGATACTGTACGACACGTGATCAACTGCTCTCACATTGTCCTGCTGGCCGGCCATTTCATCTAGAATTAACATCATTCAAATACCTGCACTGAGTTCTGCAAAGCATTTTTGTCTCTAGGGTGTCCCTGTTAAAAAGTAAATCTAGCAAAATCTCTATTTCGGTCATGGAAGGGTGTGTCTGATTAATATTTTCTGTAGAGTAGAAAATGAGCACTTTTCAAAGAGCCAAAATAAAGCAAGTATACTTAACATTGAAATCATACAGAAAATAATCAGACTTTCCTCAGGGGGAAAAATAGATCCTTCGATGCAAGAGTTTTTCCATTTGCCAAAGGGTGGAAATGAAAACAATGGTCGGAAATTTTAGTGAACCAGGTTTCTGCTCAGAGTTAGTCTAGGTAGTCTTGAAAAAAAAAAAAACAGAATTCCTTATCACCCACTGAAATCTCACAGACAGGAATTGAGAGTGACAGTTGCACTAAATGACCCTTTAAGATCTCTGCCATTGTTGAGATTCTATGAGTGCAATTACCTCTGAGCCCAGCCCAGGGGTGAGTTGTAATCATGACACAATGTGTGGATCAGCAGAGATGCTGCTCAAATAATTGGAGGCCTCTCTCTGTCACTGAGAAGCACCATCAGCCTTACCCTGGCTTCAATCAGTTTCTCAGTTGTCTAGCAGTGTAGATTCGGGAAACTGTTTCAAAGGAGCTGTTTAAAAAACGAAATTTCTAGAGCACTCCAGCAAAATCTTTTGAGGCTTTATTAACTCGGTAAAGTAAAATATTCATGCTCATATCCCCCAAAATCTCCACCCGGCCTAAGAACTCTAATTTTTAAAATTATTTTTTGAAATCGTGGTCAAATAGACATAATATAAAATTGACTCTTTTAATTGTTTTTGAGTGTGCCGTTCAGTGCCATTAACCGCATTCGTGTACTTTCCTTCTTAAGTCACGAAGATTGCTCTAAAACTTGTTTACTCCTTATCCCTCCCACTCCCAGAGGCTGGGGGACAGGAGACTCATAGTAGCAACTGATCCTTTTTTCCAACTGCTGACTTTCTCCTAAAGGGAAATCAAGTCCAAGTAAGCTTTTGCTTTCAGTTTTCTGAAGGAGGATTGTTCAAAAGTACAAATGACTGTCCGGAGATTCTAAATGACAAGCCATCATGCTCTACAGAGAAGCACAGGTAGCCTGCTTGCAGCCTCTGGATCCACAGTCGGCCGTGCTTCCCACTTTTCAGAAAAATTACAGTCCGTGACTACTTCTACCCCGTGACTCACAAATTAAACAGAATATTGAAAACAGGATGATTTTCCAATCTAAAAAAAAACATGCATCTTTGCATCGAAATGAGCAGAGGAGTCAGCAAGAGCCTCTTCAAAACAACTGTTTGGCGCTTTGTACTGATAAGGCTCGGTGCCGTGAGCGTGGCTCTGAAGAGATGACGAAATAAGGGGTCATGTGGCTTTGCTGAGCACTAAGCAACGTTTAGCACTGTAGATCAAACATCGGGCAAAGGAGTTCACATTTCTTTGAGCTGCTTCTTCTCCCTTGAAACAAACTGGAAAAGAGGAGCTAAAAGGCCGACCGTCCTCTGGGGCTTTTACAATAATAAATGGGTGTTCATATAACCGAAGTATTGAAACATTTGAGTTTCAAGGTGGGATATCACAACCCAGCGAAATCCTTAAAGGCAACGTCTGTCTTGTTCTTCACCTCATCCCAGCATCCAGCACAGTACTTGGCCCGTGGAAGGTACTCAATGAAAGTGTGTAAAGTGAGTAGATGAGTAAATGAATGAATAAACAAATACATCATTTTGTTTTGGACCCAAGGCTTTGTGAAATGTGTGGCATGAGCGCATGCACTACAAATTGGTTAGGAATCTCATCTTCAACTAAGAACATATGGTCATCTTTTACACCCAGGGAATCATGGTTTCTTGGGGCAGAAACTAGAGGAAAACCCTGCTGGCAATGCCAAAATTATAGAGCAGGAGTTGGTGACTTGATAATGAGAAAGAAAAGGCCCAGATTTCTAAGGCCTAGAACTCTTAGGATACGCTTTGCAGAGATTTTCTATTGATTCTCATGAGTTACATTCATGTCACTCGAGACCTTGGTTTCCCCACCACAGCACTATTGACAATCTGGGCACAATAATTCTTTGCCGTGGGGGCTGTCCTGCGCATTGTAGAATATGTCACTGCATCCCTGGCCTCTACCCACTCGATGCCAGTTGCATCCCCCACCCCACCTCAGATGTGACAAGCAACAGTGTCTCCAGATATTGCCAAATATACCCTCAGGTACAAAATCGCCCCTTGTTAAGAATCACTGCTCTGGACCGACGCTATTGTCGTGGCCACGTCGGCAGCACTGATGTGGGGCTGGGAGCCTGTGGACGCAGCGATCTCCACCTTTCATCTGCTCTTGCTCTGTGCCATGCACCTGGTCCTTCGTTTCCATTTCGAAGCTTCGACAGGAGGTCAAGTCGGACGGTGAAGTAATGCGGTGGGAACCGGTGCCACACACCTTTTGTCTGGGCCCCAAGTGTCCTATCTTTGTCCCTGAGATTGGCACACGAATACACGTTAGAGCTATTAGGTGCCATTGTTATTGTTATTATTATTACTGTGAGTCCTGGCTAGATCGCTCACTGTCAATTTAAGGACACTCTGTAAATAGCCCAAACTGTAGACTTTGGAATGGTCATAAAACTCTGTGTTCCTAACAAATTCCATTCCCTGGACGTGGCAAATTTACTCGTCGCAAGTAGGAAGATGGGCTCACACCTCACAAGGGAATTACTGAAGGACAGGAAAGCCAGCAAGATGCCTAGGGACGGACAACTAGGCACTCACAGCCAATTGGCACACAGCTCAACTCTCCATCCAGAAGAAGCCATTTTCTTCCCAGTCAGCTTTTCCTTTACTCGTTCAAATGGGGCAAGACCCAGCGGAAGTGAGAAGCACTTACTGGCATCAAGACGGCGGAAGATCCTGGCATTGTAGGGTTGGGCAGGGTCCCGGGCATGGAGGCTGGCATGGGCTGTCTCTGTCTGTTGTGGAGATGTAGCAGAGAAGATAGAGAGCCTGGGACAGGCCTGGGGGGAAAAAAAAAGGAAAAAGAAAATATGATTCCTGATTCCGTGGGCAGGGGATTCACTGTCTGTTTCCCTGTGTCCAAAACCAGCCAGGACACCACCATTGCAGGCCAACAGAGCAGATCCTCTGATGGGAACCATGTAATTGAGGATATTAGGGAAATAATAACAAATAAAACGCAAGCCTGGCTTCCTTTGCTGCTTCCTAGCTAATACATCAAATGCCACTTCATTTCCTGACCTCTGTTATCTAACTGATGTCCAACAGACAACAAGCTGGTGAACCTCCTACAACCCCCACGATTTAGGAAAGAGACTCGGTGGCGGAATCCTGTGTTTACCGGGAAGTCTCTGCCCTCTGGAGGATCTTAAAGCCCGAGATCTGTACACATGTGCTTTATCCTCACTCCCCTACACCTCTGCCTGGAAGCCCTCCAGGCTTTGCTCTGGGTACGCTTTCACTATTCTGGATCTGCAGGGCCAACTTCATTCACAAACTCAACAGAAATCTATTTCGACTTTTTCTCTGTTCTCCACTGTGAGTGGAGGAGAACCAAAGCCAGCACACAAACGAAAGCAGCCGGATTGGGCTCACGGCCTCGTAGTGGGTCTTTCTCCAGCGAGCCCGGTGCGCAGCCCCCTTTCCAGTCCCTCATTCGTAATGACTTAAGGTGTTAGGCTGTCGGACAGAAACTGGTCTTGGCCTGACCTGCAGGACTTGGGTCAGTATGCGTTCCTTGGGGGAGTACACGGTTTGAGCTTTTGCTTCAATTTGCCAGAAAAAAAAATTTTAAGGGCCTTCAATTGATTTAATGAGCCAAGGAATGAGGGGCTGAGGGGAAAAGGGAGTGATTCGTGTTTATTAAAAATGGCAAACAAGTGACCTCCTTGGCTAAATTCTCAACCTCCTGATGCTTTTGCTCTGGGGAGCTATATAAATGTCAAACCATTAAGTTAAAGACTTAACAACAAGCAAATAAAACAAAACAAACAAACACGCCTCGGGACTCCTGAATTTGTATGATAAACTATCTAATCCTGAATGCCGTGATAGAAATTAGTGCTTCCAAAATAATGCATTTTCTAACATTAAAAAAAAACCAAAACCTCCTCATGTTAAGTGCTGGGTGATGGTTGCAGACAGAGCAGTTCTGTGTAGGCCAACGCCTCCTTGTGCTTCAGGGAAAGACACCGGGGCCCTATCTCAGCAGCACGAGCCGCCTCTTCTTTGGAACTCTTTTGCCTCCCCTGGGTGATTCATGGGCAAGTGGGAGACTGAAATGGGCGGAAGAGGCCGACACGTTCTTTCACAATGCTGTTCTAATTCCAGAGAAGAGTAAGTTTCCCACCTTTCGCCTGACAGCTCCTTTGGAAATCTAGCTAGCTACCAGAATCACACACATCAGAGAAAGATCAGTCATAAATTCGTCAATACTTAGGAAGTTGTATATATGAAAACATAAAAGAAAATAAAGGCTTTCCACAGAGTTTATATAGATGTACAAAATTACAGCCAGTTTTTTTTTTTTTTAATAGAATGTGCGTATGAGTGGTTGCATAGGCTAATGTAAGGAGCTGGTAACAATGGAATGAGTGTTTTCCACAAAGCAGATGAAGTATTTCTTGACATGTTATTTCTTGACATGTGCCCTGGGGACCTCTGGAGTATGGATTAACAGTAAGGATTAGTAGGGCCTGTGAAAGCCCTTCAGCTTTTATAGTTCTAGGAAACTCCTTGTTGCAATTGCTCCAAAATTCTATAGTAGTTTGTAACTTCATTGAATCTTAAAGTCTCATCTCATTCAGAGGTAGATACCTCGCATCGGAGAGGTATCTCACCACATGGCTCACTCACCAGACAACATTTTTTTATATTCTCTAGTCTTAATGTTTCATTTGGGACACTTACCGAAAGTAGCTGTGTATAAAAGTATATGATGTTTAATGATGCTCAGTTCCTCTAAGTACCAGATTAATCATCTAAACGCCTCAGTTTCATAATGAGAAAGATTCATTGAGAGGATCCCTATGGATAGCTAATCATTCATCTACCCATTCACCCTTTCATCTATATATCTATCTATCCACATAGATACATAGATAGATGTGTCTACACACATCTATACCTGCATACATACGTATAGAGGCACACATCTATATACACACATACATATAGACACATACGTCTATACATACATTACAAACATACATACAGCTTCCTGCCATATGTCTGTTCCCCTAGACATCCAGGGAAGTACTTCCATTATGGACAGTTAGGGACAAGCAAAATCTGTTATAGGAAAAACAACTAAGATTTCTTTTTATTATGTTGATCGGCGATATCATTTTCATGAACAAAGGGCAACATATTATCATCATTTATATTTTGTTTTCAACATGCCATCTTAATAAAAATAAAAATCTGGTTATCAGTTTTTATCGATGGATTCTTTTTTTTAAAAAAAGAAACCAATTAAACAACTTAATGGTGATGCAAATGGAGATATAAAAGTAATTAAATTTAAAATGAGTTTTCATTCTTCCCATGACTATGGAAAACTCCCTGCTGAAGAATACATGTTTCATTTAATTTAATGTTCCTATTAGGTCAGTTACTTTCACACATGCATAAGTCTACTAGATTTTAAAATATCAAGTATTCTCTCATTAATTAAGACAGCCTTTCACAGTACTGGGTTCCCTTGGGATTATAATAACAATTACCTAATAATGCCGATCAGATTAATTAGCAATGTATACTTGGAAGGAAAACTGGTTAGAAAACCATGTATGTTTGGATTCTGAGTAATTTTGAATTATTGTTTTACACAGGTTCTATAAATAATTTCTTCAACCTCACCTACAAAACTAATAGAGTTTTCTAGGCTGATTGCTTTGGCTTTTAAAATTACAAAAACTGAAAGAAAAAAAACCAATCTATCTCTATTCATCACTGAGTATACAAAAGACTAGAAAGAAGTAATTATGTAGTTTGGCCCAGGAAATAATCATTTGTCTAGAATAGTCAGATCCTTGAAGAAAGAGTGGTATCAGAATAATTGCATTAATTGTCTAATTCCCCTTGTGTATATAGAATTATTACTTAATACCTTGCACTTGCATAAAAACTTTTCATGCTGCATTTATGAACTGCTTTACATTTTTCACCTTCATGTGACTTAAAACAGTGCAATGTGGTAAGCGGGGTATATTATTCTCATTTTACTCAGGAGTAAGCTGAATCCAGAAACCTTTAAATTTGCCCGAGATCAGATGGGTCATGAAAAGAAGCAGGACTTGTACCCAACTTGCAACAGAGAGTTTCGCCTATCACACCTTGACAGCTCCCATAACTGATTTTTGATACTAAAATAAATTCACAGACCATTTCCTTTGACAGTCACACTGCTCCTTGGACTTTCCAATGAAGTAAAATTCTTCAATCTGCTAACATGAGAAGTCACTCATCCATGTGAAATTATGTTTTCTTCTTTTAAAAAGAAAAAAAAAATCCCAAACATCAGTTAGACTCTGAAAATAAGATGGCAAATTGCAGTAAAGTTGTGAAAACAAAGAGCCAACAGTTTTCTCCAGTGCAGGCTTGTTGCCATGAGCTAATAATTCCAGACTTTGAGCAAGGCGAGCCTTCTTTTTAATAACCATATGCCTCTAGGTAAAGTATTTCTACTAAAAATTATTGAGGCATGGAACAAGGTAAGATGTGTGAGCTCATGTTGGATTGTTCAATTACTAAACTGAGTCCCGTAGCTTTAAGAGTTTCCCAACTTGACAGATTATTCCTCTTTATACACTTGTATAAACATACTGCTTATGGCTGAAATCTATGTAAGCTTTTCTTTCAATTAAAATGTCAAGGATGACAGACTGTGTTTTCACTGTCCTTAACAGAATGCTAGGTATCACAGCAAGCGATTTCATGTCCTCCTTTTTCCTCCCAAAGGATGTTTTCCAGTCTAGGGGGTGTCTGAAAAGCAAGGGCTGTGTCTTCTGATTTTCCTTGCCCCTGGACAAGCCCCACTATCTTTAAGGAGCTATAGGCCATTGCTTTTTTTTGGAAGGTCTCAGGAGGGTTACTGCAGACTGTTCTCCTTCCCTAGTCTTCATAAGATCCAAGACATCCCAGGATTGTCTATTAAACTCTCAGGACAGACAGGTCTGCCAGGTACATAGTCAGGCAGAGGGAAGAAGCAAACGTTGAAAAAAAATGAGGTTAGAAAATTCGAAGATCAACGTTAGTACCCACATCAGATAATAGACATCTAAGAAAAAAAAAAAAAATAACAACAAAAAGACTTGGTGGGGGACAAAATTTAAACAAACAAACAAACAAACAAAAAAACTCTTCAAAGCAAGAGAATGGAAAGAGGAGGGAGCAGGAGACCCGGATGGCTTTGGTTTTAGAGTTTCTGACTCTGGGGAAGAAACATCCTTAACTTTTGCGCTCTCCACTTCATCATCTGTCTAACGAATGGATCAGACTATAGGCCATTGGGAAATCTCTTGAAACTCTAAAATTCAGATTCTAGGCCTCGAAATGAAAATGAGATGTTCTTAACTCAGCGAGACTACCTGTTCTATTAGGACAAGGGTATTCTTCCTTGCTCGCTGACACATCCACAGTGCTTTACCCAGCACCTGGCTCATAGTACATGGTCAGGGTCTATATTAAACAAAATCGAGCCAGTACAGCACTCAGTTCGTAATGTTAAGACTACATGGGAAACACGAATAAATCTCAAATAGAAGACATCCCTAAAAAGTGAGAGGAGTTGTGAAAAAAAGGACTCGATACATTCCATGGGGCCCACACTTCTGTCTCACTTAAATATAGCATCATTTCACACACAGACTAGAGAAAGCTTATTGCCCACTATCTTTGCATCTGCTTATGAAAAGAAATGCGTGTTTCCTTTGCACCTCCTTATGTGAGGTGTTGTGGCCTAACCTGGGAAATTAGTTTCTGCCTGGGATAGGGAGAC